AAATGTATGACAAACTTTTTTTTAGCTTTTAGGGTTTTGGCCAAAAAATTACCAGGCTTATTTCTAAATTCATATTGTTACTGCGAGAGGTGCAGGTGATGTTTAAGCTTAGAATCTAAGAGGGTGTGCAGTTCCTCATGTGTTTTAGTGAGTTAAAAAGGGTAGATTTGGATTAAGAACACTTATGCAAGGATTCTAAATGTCAATTTTATATCAATTGAGAAGCTTGTCCCAAATACAGAGTCTCACCAACTGTAGGAGAATCCAGGGCTAGTGAATCCCCAGGTCTGGCTTTTCTTAGACGCCTATACTGTAGATACCAGCTTCCACAGTATGTTGGCCAGAGGGAAGAACAGTGGAATAACACTCTGCCAACCAAGTAGAGAAGGAGTACGGATATGGAGCATTTCACAAAACCGAGGAAGATATTCAGGGTATCGAAGGGTTACCATTTTGCCATTGTAGCGAGCGCTGAGGCATTAAGGGAAGCTCGATTGGTAAGAAATACCCTCAGCACGAAGAATGTCCAGAAGTGGACGCAGAGCCCTGCGTCGAGCCAATGTTTCTCTAGCCAAGTCTGGGTAAATCTGAATCTTGGCGCCGTCAAAGTTCTGTAGAGGAGATTCACGCAACTTCTTCAAAATGGCCTCCTTATCCCAAAAATAGTGTAGGCGGCAAATCACATGCCGAGGAGACCCACAGGACCCACCAGATCCGAGGAGAGATATCATTTAATAGCTCCAGAAGATGGAGTTTTAGAAGAGTCTGGTCTACCTGTCTTCTTGCCCATGTTGAGGAGGCAAATATAAATACTCGGAGCCAGTGGGATGCAAAAAGTAGTGGGTGAGCTGCGCGGAGCACTAGTTACACACGTCTTGCCACCACCATGATTAGGACATGCCCCATGACACGTTATTTATGAACTGATCCTTGCCTGTGTATTGACCACGTTTCTGACTGCCGCCTGGGATAATCCATTGCCTGCATACTGACGTCTCTTCCTGCCACCTGAACTGATCCTTTGCTTATTTGCTTACCATGTCTCTTCATGCCACCCGTACTGATCCATCTGCAAATCCCACCAGCTAGGTTCCTGCTGAGACACCAGCCCCAGCCATCCTCTGTGCACAACTGCACTCCTGAAACCACTGGTACTCTTTTGTTTACCTTTTGGTTAGCCTCCTCTATTACCTGGCCAGTAAACATAGCATTGTTTATAATTGCGAGGGCAACCAAGTATCCATAGGTCTGCCAGTTCTAGGTGAAGGGGGCTGTACACTCCACATAAAGCAAAAACAAATGTAAACAGTGACAGCTCTGATACAATGCACACCTCCGGAGAGGTCACAGCGCACTAGGCCGTCCCTTGAAATGCAAGTAAACTGTGATTGATACAATGTTGTTTGATTTTTGTGATACACAAGATTTAGTCAGCACTCACTTAGAGGAAAATAATGCTTAAATACTGGTGTCAGTGGTTGGAATCCCCCAACATTGGTATTAGTGAGAGACTATCCCAATATTGGCATCACTGAGATAATAGACAGTGAAGGGTGCTGTGACAGACTTACCTGGCGGTGGACCGTAGCAAACGTTGCCGCCGACCAATCCAGGCGAGTCATGCCGACCTCCTTCTTCCGGCTCACACACATTAAGCCACACTATTTGAATTGCTTGGCGTTCTGTTGACTGCAACACAACGCTGAGCAATTCCCTGCTCACAAGAGAACTTCCCTGTTAGGATCCCTAAACTGTCAGTGGTTACTGACAGACTCCTCTGTTGCCGCCGCAGCTGCCCTACAAAAAGGCACCTCTTAAAGGAGACACATCTGTGTGGCAAGAGCTACTGCCACAGTGGGAACATATACATCACCAGAGTGGACTATTCCTTAATCTACCAACTGCAAGTATTCAGTCACTACTTGACTGTTTTGCCATTGATGTGATGGACTTAATGTTGTTAGAACTGTGATGCTGGCCATGTAAAGGATTGTATGACCTGCTATATCACAAATAGTCTGTTTGTCCTGGTGTGAGGAAACATTGGATTGCATTATCTACTCATAAACGGATTGTATGACCTGCTATACTACAAATAGTCTGTTTGTCCTGGTGTGTGGAAACACTGGTTTGCATAGACACTAATACCTACCTAAAATAGGATTGTCTGAAGTAATACTATCCTCTTACCCTGTGTGCTACAGATTATATGACTGTACACTGCAGGAGCTTAAGTCTTGTACTTCCAAGCTATAATAGTGTGAAGTGTGCTAACATGGAATTAATTCTGCTGCATTTATGGAAGGATGCATTGTATTCCTCACACACTCTATCAAGGGGAGAGCACCCTCAGCCTCGTCCAACTGTCATTATGAGCATTGCAGATTGTAGTAGCTTCACCTGTATTGTTTGTACGTACAGTGTTAGTAACTCCTTTCTACCTTCATCAGGTAAGCTTCTGATGGGCACAGTCCATTAAATTTAACTAAATGACTGGATGTTTAATTTGAAAGTGGGCTTCGTTTACAAGTGTCTGTGCTGCACATAACAACCAAACAACTTTGTCTGTAAGGGCCCATTCACACTAGGCTGGTTGCGGTAAATGCACATGTGTTAATTGGTTTGCACATTAATGTGCATTGTTTTACGGCAGCCTATTCATTTGCATCCGCAGCACGATAGCGGAAATGGGCCCTTCATATCACATTTTGTAATAAAATGTACACTCTCATTATAGCCAAACTTTAGGAAAAAAATAATTTACATGCCGCATTGGGTGTGTAAATTATGATTTAAAAAGCTGCGTGTTATGTGCAGAGGGATAGTGCAAAGTATAAAAATTAGGGAATGCACCGAAATTTTGACCACCGAAACATATCGGCTGAAAATGGTACTTTGGGCAAAATGCCAAAAGTGCCATCTTTCGGCCGAAATTGCTGTGCATCTCTAGTTTCTATCCCCCCTGCTGTGTGCTGCTCTGTGTCCCCTCTGACACACACAGCGCAGCGCCTAGCAGGGAGGAGAGAAACTGTCAGAGGAGGCCAAGCGGGGGGGGGGGGGGGACCCGCTGAGCCTCCTGTGAAAAATCAGGATGGAGAGCGGTGTGGGGGCTGTCAACGGAGCCCGAGGTAGCGGTGAAGGGGAGGAGTCAGCTGTCAAAATAGACCGAGATGACCTCCCTGCCCTGCCGGCTCAGTCTCCTGTGAGAGCCGATCCAGGATGGAGAGCGGGTACAAACATTCAGCGATCAGTGATTGCTGAATGTTGGTAATTAACTGGACATAGTATAAGCTACTCTGTAGCAGTTAAGAATGAATAGGAAGTGATCTACATCACTTCCTATTCATTCATGATTGTGTGCATAGTAACTTACTATATCCACAATTTATGAATGAACAGGGGCACTTAGTATAGAGGATTCCTGTTCACTTATAACAGGGGCTGCAGAAAAAGAGATCGAGGACTCTGTTTTCTCAATCTCTTTTTCTATTTTAAAAGGGAAATATCAGGGATCTGTTTGGATGATGTGACATCATCTCTCCTCTTCCAATCACAGAATACCTTAAATTCTTTAAAAATAATACAAGTCATTTAGTGAATGGGCAAGTATCGAGGAGGGGCAGGTTATGCAACCGGAGCACTTCACCGCTCAAGTGGCATCCCTCACTACCTACACTGCCCAAAAGCTCAGCATTACGTGTAGCAGGCGGCATGTTGCAAGGTAAAGCTGGCCATACACTGTTCTATTTTTTTTTTTGTTCAACCTGCAGACTGAATTAACTAAATAGAACAGATTCCTTCATCTGCGCTTATGAGCATTGATCAAGGAATCTGCTGTTGTCTTTATTGTATTTTGACAGCAGCTGCCGGCCACCATCAGAATAGCTGAACAGAGCCATTCAGTTCATTGGCTGCTGACTCTGTTCGCACAAAGATTTTCCAACCGGGTTTTATGATCATCTGATCAAGGGATGCCAGCCGAAAGGGTCCCGACAGCAGCACACACTGTGCTAATGTCATCAAGAACCGGTGTTTTGATAGAATCCTGGGCCAGTTAGAAATCTGGACCTGCAGGTCACTTCCAGGGGCGTCGGCTGTAGGCGCAAGCTCTGAGTCGCTGATCAGGTAGGGCTTCAGCTTAACACGCAAGCTCACACCCGCCGAGCGGGTCCACAACTTTCATTGCCAATTACGCATGTGCAGGGAAGCGGCGCCATTAAATAAGGTAAGTTCTTAAGGCCCATTCTCACCAGGGCGGATGCGGTTCAGGGCGGTTTCCGCACGAATTTTAAAAGGGCATTTTTAATTGCGCTGACACACAATAAAAAACACCCAAAAAGGCAATGATCAGTGCGTTTCTATTCAAATCTGTATGGAATCAGGGAGCATTTCGGGCGGCAGGCGGTTTATACGGTGCCGCATGAACGGTCCCCATAGGAATGTATGGGATTGTTCATGCCGGCAATGCGGACAAATTGTGCGACCGCGAACGGGCCTAAAGCAGTATGGGGGGGGGGGGAAGAGATTTAGTTTTAATTTTATACAGCACTGAAATAGAACATCACACCACCCCCTGCTGGACCTCACTCAGCACACTAGCCTACACAATAAAATTCAGCGTTTTATGTGGGCTAGTGTGAACAAGCATGAGACAGCCAGACTACTATTTCTAAGTCAGCAATCTGCAATTTCATTTGTATCTCAATATAAAAAGCATTAACAATGGAAAATAAATTGAGCATAGCGCCGTCCATGTGACAGTAACCGTTTTAGGCATGCATGCTATGTGACATCTGTTATGTTTCTGCAAGGAATATTTACTTCCAAAATAACGATGTAATGGGAACACAATCCATAAACAATTCTTCCAGGAACAAACATGGCTACGAGTGACAGCTCACGTGACTTTACTCCTGTTTCCGGTGTATGTTTGACAGCTTCCGCTCGTTGCATAGAGACGGTGGAACGCAGCGGCCTTTCAAACAGCCAAAGTGAGGGAAATGAAGAGGGGCAGTGACATCAAACCGGCTTTATGCGCCTTATGTCGGGTTTTGTCGTTTTGCGGTTCTGAGTTCGATGCCGAGACTTTACGAAAAGCAAAATTTAACCGTCCAGAAGCAGTAAGTGTTCGTTCTTGTCATATACGTTCTGTATCTGTTGCTTCATGGTTTGCAGATAGTGGGTTCTGCTGTCACTGCTGGAAATAGTTTTTTCTTCACTTGATGCTCTGTATGTCCAAAGTTTACTGTCATGCAAATTAGTCATTAAACTATTTGAACTTATTTTATTGCATTGTGTTTTTTTTAACCTGTTTTTCTCCTTAAAGTATAACTAAAGCCATTTTCATTACGGATAGAGCAGGTGGTGGTTAAGGCAGAACTCTGGGCAGTGGGCATACATTGTATTAACCCTTATGGGGGGCTGCCCCTGCACAGCAAGTGTTAACTGCACATTTTTCCTAGGTAAAAAAATATTAGGTTAAACTTACCTGATCCATGGAGCCGGCTTCCTCTTAGACCAGTCAGTGAAGCCTCTCTCCCCCTCCGATGCAGTGGTCTAGGAATCCTCAAGTCATCACAATCTATACGCTGGGGGGAATTCATTGAAACTGAAGCAAACAGAATCTGGAGCAGTTGTCAATGGCAACCAATCAGCATCTCTCCACAGTTTGCTCAGGTAAGATATGTAAATGAGAGATGCTGATTGGCTGCAGTGCAAATCTGCTCCAGTTTTGATAAATCCCCCTCACTATGTATAGGACATGGACGCTGAGGACATGCCATCACTGCAGTGGAGGAGGAGAGCGGCTGGCACATGAATAGCTTCAACCAGGGAATGACAGCTGCCATTGGCAAGATTCTGCAGATGGCAGCTGATTGTAAATACAGCAGGTAGTGGGCTGGTGCAATAGTAGGCTGGCTATTGCACCCAACCACTGCTTGCTGTGCCCTCCTCCCAGCGTGGAGTAGAGAGCTAGGGGATCCAATCGATAATTGACAACTATTCTCATTATGGATTCGTTTTTTGGTGTCCGTGAAAGATATTACCATTGGAAGGCACAAAGTTACAAATGTATGCAGTCCTATGTTTTGGGATGATTTTTAATTCATCCGCCTATGTGTATGCTGGGGGAATAACCTTCACATGGCAGTCTTGTCACTAGATTTATTAATCTTCCCCTTTGTGTCAGCTTTCGGAGTACAATAAATTTGTTATAAATAGGGATGGGCCGATACCATTTTTTCAAGTCCGAGTACCTATAATTTTCCTCAAGTACGACAATACAAACGTATAATTTTTAGGACAGTGGTGGAGCGCCAGGGCTCGGACGCAGCTGCAACCCTGGTAGTTCTGCCACTGACTCCAAGCTGTAGTGGGGCTACAAATCCCAGCAATACATTATACAGCAAAGCCACACAGCCTTGTTTTGCTCACCAGGGCTGTGTGGTGTGCGGGCGGGTCTCACCAGGGCTTAGCGGGTGGGTACAGGTCTCACCAGGGATGTGCAGACGGGTGCGAGATTCCCCAGTGCTGTGCCGGGTCTCACCATGGCTGTGCGGGCGGCTGAAAGGAGGAGATGTTTGGCCAGCGCTGTAAACAGGTGCCTCAAGGTTGCCCTGAGGTCCCCAGCAAGCGTGAGACCTTACCGCAGTCGCTTGTGTTTAAAAATGTCAAGCGTCGGTATGGACGCATTTTCATGAGTACTTGTGAAAATGCCCAGTATCGGCACCAATACTGGTATCGGTGCATCCCTAGTTATAAGCCTTGCTGGAGCTGCTCGTTTTTGTAGTCCACAAACCCATATACCAGTAGGTACCGTGTTTCCCCGAAAATAAGACAGTGTCTTATTTTTTTTTTTTGCACGAAAAAAGACTCTGGGTCTTATTTTCGGGGTAGGTCTTATATTACAGACATCCCCGAAGATAGCGCTAGGTCTTATTTTCGGGGTAGGTCTTATATTACAGACATCCCCGAAGATAGCGCTAGGTCTTATTTTCGGGGTAGGTCTTATATTACAGACATCCCCGAAGATAGCGCTAGGTCTTATTTTCGGGGTAGGTCTTATATTACAGACATCCCCGAAGATAGCGCTAGGTCTTATTTTCGGGGGATGTCTTACTTTCGGGGAAACACGGTAGGTTATATGTACGGATATGAATGGGCTTGGCAAAAGTGAGTTCACCTGAGCCCATGGAAATCTGTCGGTGACACATCCCCCTCCTGGTCCAGATAGGTGCAGCCGGGGCATTCCCTGCATCCTCGCTACGTGTAGCTGTGGGGTTGGACATGCCCAGGTCGCAGCTGAGGGCCACTGCAAAGTATAAAAATCTTGCCTTGCAGCATGCCGTCGTATCAGCTGCCCCTCCTAGCTAATTTCACAAAATGCATGTTATTTTTTCAAAGAATACAAAGCACTTAGTGAATGGGCAGGTGATGAGTAAGGTTGGGCTCGGGCGTGTTCGCAGCTCCAGGTGCCGAGCCCGCCAGGAAGCTGACAGCGCCAATCACAGGCACTGAGACATTTCCCGATCTCTGCATCTGCGGACCGGGAACATGTCTCAGTACCTGTGATTGGCGCTGTCAGCTTCTTGGCGGGCTCGGCACGTGGAGCTGCGTACGCGCCCGAGCCCATCCTTAGTGATGAGGAGGGACAGCTGACTCAACCAGAGCACTTCACTTCTCAAGTCATATCTTTCACTGCCCTGAAGCTCAGGATTATGAGTAGGAGACTGCATGCTGCAAGGTAAAGGTGCCCATGCACTGTACGATTCTCGTACGAGAATCGCGGGAAATCCCGCGATCGTACGAGAATCGTACAGTGTATGGAAGGCGTGCGACCGCTTCTACTGTAAGGTCGCACGTCTTCCATCGAACAAGCAGGCTTGAAAACCCGCCGGATATATACATTGCAGCATCCCTCTACTCCTAACACACAGGTTTTTAATGATTTATGCACCCAGTGTGGTGTATAAATTATAATTTTTTTCCTGGAGTTTGGTTTTAAGTCAATGATCAATTAGAACACCCACTGACTCCCCCACTTGTATTTCCACCTATAGTGTATGATGCATGCATGCTTTACATTGATCAACATTAAAGCTGAACTCCAGGGATAAAACAGATGTGCATAATGTAATCGCAATTAGCCGTAATATTATGTGTACTGTGTGTGGAAGGCTGATTCATAATATAAAATCATACTTTTTGCGAATGTAGGAGGAGAGAGGACAGGGCAGAGATGTGACTGGAGATGTGACCGTTTCGACTGTACGGTCGCACGTCTTCCATCGAACAAGCAGGCTGGAAAACCCGCCGGGAATCGTGAATGGAGGAGGAGAGAGGACAGGGCAGAGATGTGACTGGAGCCCTTCACTGCCAGAGCTGCTGCTGTGTTCCCCGCAGCAACTGGAAATCCAGCACTGTATGTAGCAGAGGGCTTGCAGCAAGGAATGATCTTTATACTGTGCAGCGCCTTCCTCACACTGTATACATGTTTTTAGGGATAACGTATCTATTACAATCATTTTTTTTTTCCGGGAGTTCAGTTTTAAACTTATTTGCCACATAGTTGGCCAATCAAACAGTGCAGTTAGGCCTGTTTATAAGTCAGAGGTATTTTGTAGGGACTTTCCGCTACATAGTTTGGTGTCATTTGCAAACACAAATAATACTTTTTTTTTAAATACAGTATATAACTTTCTTTTTATTAAACACAAAACAAAGTTTAACAAGCATGATGTCACACACAAGGAAGTAGTAAGTGAGTAAAGCAACATTTGTCAGCAAAAGCATAATCAGAAGATGTACCAAACAACTATAATCAAGTCAACATACATGGACATAGTAGATGCAATAAGAATGAAACAAGAACAAATGGGAGATAAGAAAAAAAAAAAGAGAGCGAAAGTGAAAAAGGAGAAATAAAAAATTACGCGCTCTTCAACCACAGGACAAGGGGGATGATTGCCCATCCATAAATAATACTTTTAATCCTAAACACTGAACCTCGGGGTAAACAACCAATAACCTTAAACCATTCAGAATATGAATCTTTAAACACAACTCTCTGAATACGGTCTTTAACCACTTCCCATCCAGAGCAGATAAAAATCTGAATGTTTGCCTAGAAAATGGCTTAAAACACTCAAAAAATTATATATTTTCTGAGAGCAGAGACCCTGCTGAATAAAAAAAAAAAATGTGAGTTGCAATTTTTTAATGTGAAAATAGCATGTCACCAACTCACCAAGGTCTAAGGTCCAAATGTGTCTTTATTGACGTGTGTACATCTTGTCACAAACAGCCTGTTTGTGACAAGATATACACACGGCAATAAAGATGCATTTATTGCAAAACCGAGCATTGAAAAAAGTAGTGCGTGCATTCGTTTTTTTTTTCAATTGCAATGCAAGGTATAGCGGTACCATGTGTTGCGGCACAGTCAATCGCTTTGCAGGTGGGAGGTGTGTTTGCAGAACCATTCAAATGAAAGGCAATGCGACAGACCTCCTACACTGTTAACGCATGGGAAGTGCGTACTGCGTTATCGCAGAGAGTGAGTGACTCTGTTTTAACAGCACAGGGAAACCGCTCAGCATAGCGGCTATAGCAGGGACCCAGAAGGGGCTGTAATATACTGTAGTAGCTGCAGCTACTGGAGTATATGACAGGAGGATACCCATAATATAGCATTATTATTATTTTTTTTGGGCCCCCGCCCTCCAAAGTATATTCTTCCCCACCCAAAGCCACCATTGTACCTTTTTGTCCGCAGCTCACTTCTGCCCCTCGTCTATCGTTTAGCTCTGTACTCCTCATCCACCTCTTATGACTATTTCCAAGGGTCCAGGTTGGCAGGAGGCACAGACTTTACTGCTCTGGCTGCCCCTGCATTCTGCCAAAACAAACTGAACATTTTGTGTTAATGCAGCAAAAAATGTATTTCAGCCTTTGTAAACTGAAAGTTTAATTGGGCTTGAGTCATTTGATCAGCAGGTTTGATTAATGTAAAATACAGTATTACTTTGAGCTAAATATTTTTCCATGTCTTAACATTTCATGTTTGTCTTAATCGACAGGCTTCTGGGGTCTGGAAACTATTGTACTGCTTATTAAAACAAATCTACTCAGGAAATGACCTTTCATCAATTTCAAGGGATGAAAAAGGGATAAAAGGTGTGTGTATTTTCCGTATCCAACATTATACAAGCGTTTTTATGTTGTGTTATTGTGAAAATATACTACTGCAAAGTTTTTGCTTTTCTGTATGTTTTGCATGTTGTACTACAATAAGCACTGTCTGCATCTGAGCTTTCCACATAACCCCAGCACAAATTCAATAGAACATCTTTCATAATACGAGGGATACACCAATACCGGCTTTTTCGGTATTGAGTACGAGTACCGATATTAATACTTCGGTACTCGCCTATACCGAGTACTGTTACTTCCCGGTAGCATGGAGCCAGCTTGCCAGGCAGCGAATCGTTAATTGGTCTTGAGTGCCCGGGAAGCCGGCTCCATGCTTATTGACTGGTATGCCGGCTTCTCAGACCAATTAGCATCGAGCCTGCTGTTTGGCCTGCTCGATGCTGATTGGCCAGGAAGCCGGCTTCCCAGCCAATCAGCATCGAGCCAGCTGTTTGGCACTTCCAGGTTTTGCAGTCCATGGGCAGAGAGCTCTGGCCGCCTGCGCAGTCTGCTGGCCCTGCGATCTAGCTGGCGACGTCACAGTCGACCAGAATCCGGAGATGCACGGGGAGAGCTGTCAGTGTGCAATGTCCCTGCATTGCTGTGCTTTCTTAATGGCCAAATAGTATGGAGCCGGCTTCCCGGCCAATCCTGATTGGCCGGGAAGCCAGCTCCATGTTACCACGCATCACTGCCGGTCAGAGGAAATCTCCCTCTGACCGGAAGTTCCAGTATTGGGATAAGTATTGGTGCATCCCTACACGTTGCCAGACACACACAACACCCTTATGTAGAAAATCCAGCTCCCATTCCTCGTCATGCATTAGCCATGGCTAAAATCTCACATAAGTTTTGAAATGTTAATATAATTTAAAAAGTCATTTTGATCTTTTCTAATATATAGCTTTCATTACATTTACACTTGGTGCTTCTGCCATGACGATTCTTGTTTGGGGCCTTCCACTTCTGTACCAGTTTCCATGCCAACACGCATTGTGCAAGCATAGTACACAATTATCACCACCAGGGAACCAGTTCAGAACAATGATGTAAAGCCAATGCTGGAATGAGTACTTGTAGACAGGAAGTTGCCTGAAAGAAGCTGGATATCAGCAGTACTGAAGAAAGGCCAAAAAACGTATTTCTTTATTTTCCATTGAGGGACCCAGGATTGTAAAAAAAATTGTGAGAAGTGGGTTATGCTGCTGCCTTCAGGGTATTTGGATTTGAAAAAAAAAAACCTGTTAGACCAGTCCATGCATAACTCTGCCTTTTAACCATCATGCCTTAGTTTTAGCTTTTAGCTAGTTGTTTTAGGAAGCTGGATGCCTTTTCCTCTGCTCTGCTGTGGAAAACCCTAAATATTTTTTTTTCTACAGTATTTTCTTCAATCGAGACATTTATTACGCCACAGAGATTTTTTTTCTTCAGTTGACATCTTAAAGCGTATCTAAACTCAAAAATATAAATATAATATATTGCAGCCTACCAATCCTTTAAATATGGTGGCTGCTCTAGTATCCTTTTCTTCCTTTTTTTTTTTTTTTTTAGGATTTTTCACTTTGTTTTTACCTGGTTATCCGGCCAGTAACACACTTCCTGTCTTAGGGTGTCTCCACTCTGTGGAGGAGTAAGGGAGCCACCATTGGACAGTAGCATTGCCAACTTGTATAGAGGGTACTGTTGGATGCAGTAGCAGATTTAAATGGACTTGACTAACAAACTAAAGTAGAGCTCCAGCTAACACTTGTTTAATAGCTAAAGCAAAAGTTTTTTTACATTCCTTTTTGGGATAAAGATATTACATACATTGATAAAAAGTAGCCATTGTAAGCTCCCCTGCCAGTGTTAAAAGTGCCACTTTTGCTGAATAGCTTGGTCTGTAAAAGTGACACTAAACTCCGAAGTTGCATCTTAAAAATGTATTCAAATTTCTATGAACCTGTCTATCCCCCCCCCCCCTCCATCCTCATACTCCTTCACCCTTTTTTTTTTCTCTTTTCTTCCAATCCGATCACGATGTTTACTTGTTGCATTATTTGAGACTATATTTTGACTATCTGCTCTATGCAAGATGCTTAGATCGCCAATATAAATTAATATATTCCCTATCTTAGATATGATCTTTAGTTTATTCTTGCTGTCTATATCATCTACTGGGATACTTATACACTGTACACTTACATCTATATAACTGTGACCTGTACTAGGCTTTAGTAATGTATTATTCGGATGTTGTATTCTGAAAAACTTTCAATAAAAATCTATGATTAAAGAAAACTGTATTCAATTACCTGAACTAATAACATAACTGTACCTTCTTTGTGTATCACTTAGCTGTAGATCCTCCAAATCATCTCTGAATTGGTGCTCACACTGTCCTTCCTTCTGGAGGGTGGCTACTTTTGTTCTCCATGGTCCCTGTGTGTGTTGTAAAGTAGTACAGTCCAGCCAGAGATTCTCATTATGTTAAAGACTGGCCATCATGACAGTCCTGGGTGCCAGGAAAGAGAAATGTTAAAAATCCAGCTCTTGTTGACTCTCAGAAAATGTTGTTACCACTATTGCATATAAAGCTGGGGCTGATAACCTTTTGTAAAGGCTACGAACAAAACCAGGTTTTCCAATATCTCTATGAAAAGTTTCCAAGACTTAGTGAAGCCAAAATCAATGAAGGCATCTTTGTCGGTCCACAGATTCGAGAACTTCTCTGAGATGAGAAGTTTGATAGTCTTGCGTGGCAAGGAAAAGAAGGCATGGGAAGCCTTCAAGTCCGTGGCAACAGAGTTTCTCGGGAACAGCAAGGCAGATGACTATGAAAAACACCTGGAAAATTTGCTTAGGTCCTATAAAGCACGTGGTGCAAACATGTCACTGAAAATTCACTTCTTACACTCGCATTTAGACTATTTCCCTTTGAACTGTGGAGCAGTGAGTGATGAGCATGAGGAGAGATTCCACCAGGATATCGCAGACATGGAGAAAAGATACCAAGGGAAATGAAGTCCGTCCATGCTTGCTGATTATTCCTGGAATCTCTCCAGGGATGATCCTACTGCAGTTCACAAGAGAAAAGCCAAAAAGCGCAGTTTAGATACAGAATAAAGATGGAACCTTGTCTTTTAATCTGATGTTAAAGCTTGTCAGTTTTTCATGCAAAAAGCATGAAAATGTTACATGAAAAACCAATAAATGAATGGAAAATTATGTTATTGGTATCAATAAAAAGATACATTTATAATGATTGGTAGGGCACCATTCTCATTGCTACATCACATTTTGCAGAAAAGTTATGGAGCATAATCACACACCGCCCTCGTAATTTTGAATTATTTTTATGCAATTTTGACCTGAAGCTGTATCTTGGAAACTGGAGCCAATTAATACTCAGGACTTAATTTTCCTTCATTAGTAACCCAATTCTGGTAAAATTTAGCTACTTTCATTTCTAAGGCTTTCTCCTAATAGACGGCAAAAGAGACACCTGTGCATGCGTCCTCCCAGCTAGGACCTGAGCTAAACTCTGTACAGCCATTGAAACATACAGCAACCAAGTCATGCCCCTACTCCCTCCTCCACTCTTCTCACAGCAACTTGACAGCAGCCTGTCTTTCCCTTACCCTCCTATTCAACTCAGAAGTTAGGAAAGCGGCACAAATAGTCCTGGGGCAGCGATAATCACAGAAGTGTACTGGAGTTCAACTTTAAATGTTTGAAACACACGGAGCTTTTATATGTCAACAACAATTTGTTTTACAGGGCATGAAATTAGATACGTTAAAAGTATACTACAGATCCAAGGCTATGGCAGACCTGCTTTTTATGAACTCCCTGATGATGGCTCAGAGGGCAGCAGGGAAACTTTACTAGCCTTCTCATGGCTTTTATACACAGGAAGGATACTTGAAAGAATTTTAGAGAAGAAAAGAGTTCAACTTGGAGATTATCTAACATTTAGTATGGTATGTATTTAAACTTCAAAACATGTAAGTAAAATGATTACATAACTTTCTGATGTAAGAATAAAAATTACATTTATTTGATGTAGTCTGGCACTAGCATTACCTGTTACTGCCACTAGATGAGATTATTGTCCCCCTTTATTTGGGTTCCATTCACACATGGGCGGTGTTTTGCGCATGTTCGCACAAACGAATACGCGTGGGAATGTGCTAAACACACTTAAAAAACAATGCATTGCAATCTGTATTGTTCAGACTATTGTGGCAGCCTGCAAATAGTCCAAGCGTGATTTTATTGGTGGATTCCACGCGTTCCAACTATAGTAATAACCGCAAATGAGCGGAATCCGTGCGTATGTTACTGCTTCTGCTATTATTGAATGGAGCCTTAAGGGGCAACATTCTTTCTTCTAAAGCAAAATCACACTGCAGTGTTTTGACCCGGTCATCCTTATCTTAGACATGTTTTAAATGGACTTTAAACTATGTACATTCTAAGTACGGCTAACACTTTTTAGGTAGAGCAGCTTTTAATTATTTAATTATTTCCTCCTCCTCCTCCTCCCCCCTCACCCCTTGCCCCTCCTCCCTCCCTCCTCCTCCCTCCCTTTTTTTTTTTTGGCTTAAGCCTTAAAATTTGGTTAATTGCAGTTTTTTTTATTACAGTTTTGAAACTCTTGTTGGTTTAAAGTTGGCGGTTTCCGTCCTCGATACTTTCTAAATTACATACACAGAACAATCGTGTAGTTTCTGAAAGTCTGGGTAATATCCAAATTCAAAAGCCACATATTTGTTCTGGGTCAGTGACTAAGTAGGTTTTAAAATTGAGATGGTCAGCATGACAGAAAGGGAAATAACACTTTATGAAAGAGATCTGCAATTGCAGTCCTCAAATTTGTCATAGGCCGTGTGCCACTGTAAAGGGACTCCCCGCTGAATGGAGCTGGAAGCGAAGCTGGTTGCCTCACTTCTGGCCAGGGAAGAAGGTATTCAAGCCCGATCTAGAAGTAAGTTAAAAAAAATTAACCAAATAAATTTTAAAATACCAAAACTGGAACGTGCACATACTAACGTAAACACGCGTTGGGTACGCCTGCATACAAAAACATTCCTCTGCATACAAAAACATACCTAGACATTTTAGGTATTGCTGAATGCGCCAGAGCGAGAGCAATAATCCTAGGGCCAATATTGACTGTAAACTTCAAACTGATGACATATACAGGCTTTTAAAGCACCTACGGACAATCTGAGATACCGTATTTGCTTGCCGCATTTTTTAAACTTGGCATGTTGGGTATCTATTTACTTGGCACAACCTCATCTTTTATATTTTACAAAACAAATCGTTATTATATTCTGGTTTTATGCACTATAATGACTGCAATGTTGGGTTTGATAATGAGTTGCGTTGGGATGCACCGATATATCGGCCGCCGAAACATATCGGCCGAAAATGGCACTGGTTTCTTTTCTCCTCGCTGGGCGCTGCTCTATGTCCCAGCGGGGAGAAAAGAAAGTGACAGCCGGCCGAGCGCTGTGAGCAGCCGGCGTCTCTCCTCCCACACCGCTCGGACACCTATCACAGTCCGGCAGAGCGGTGTGGGGGCGGAGACAGCGCTGTCACAGGAGGCTGGGCTCTCCTCTCTAAGTTGTGGTAATATCATGCGGCATAAAAATGTTCAACTTCCACCATTTTAATCTACAGGGTCTGTTCTTTCAGGAAATATTTTTTTAGGCCTAAAGTGTGGATTATAACTTGTGTGCAAAAAACGCAAACACTCCTGTACCAACAACTGATATTTATTTCTATTTTTTTCCCCAGTGTGTCAGGTTAGAGAGGGAAAGATTGAAAATGTGAGTAATGCTGGGCACACACCTTAGAACCATCGCAAGACGTTTGTCTTGCGATGGTTGTAAGGTAATTTAAAAACGTACAATCTGCCTATCTTGGACAGGCAGATCGTACTTGCGATGATCGCAAGCCACGCCCCCCTGAGGGGCGGGCTTCCGATGACCGCAATGCCGAACGGGCAGTGTGCGCTTGCGCACAACGGCCCGTCCGGCTTTTATCTTCAGAACATGCTACACACCCGCCGAACATCGTACGATGCTAGGCGGGCTTTCGAACATGTTCCTAAGATAAAAGTCGTGCGACCTTACAGTAGTAGAGGTCGCACGGCTTCCACACACCTTACGATTATCGTACGATTATCGCAAGGTGTGTGGGCACCTTAAGAGTGTAGGATAGAGCAAGGTCCAGGGGGCAGATGGAGGACCAGAAAGTAGAAAAACTGTAATTGTAAGTAAAAGAGAAATATGTTTAATGGATGTACAATGATTTCATATTAGCATGCTGATGTGATTTTTTTTTTTCTGATGGTCCTATGTGACCCAGTAACTCTTTGTATAGATAAGACAGTGGTTTGGTTACGGTAAAGTCTCTCAAAGTGATTTCAGTTGGCAAAGATTCAACTTCAACTAGGCGGCCTCAAGGATTTCAATTAGATCGCATCAAGGATTACTGCTACATTGTATTTATTAAGTGTGTTAATTATGAGCATGCACCAGTTGACCTGCAAGCAAGGTAAGTCTCGTAGCACGCCGCTGAAAAGCCATTTGGCCCCCGGTGATTTCTTATTTGGGAAAGATCCGAATGCATTCTCTACCTTCACCAAAGTGATCTCTGAATCTGTTAATCCCTGTTAGATAGGGTGGGCAGGGGCATCTCAGCTAGAAATTGTAATGTTAAAATTCATAAGAAGGAATAGAGGGATACAGATTGCGATAACATTGAGCAGATGTCTGCATTATCTATGTTGGTGATTGGTAAGAATACCATTTTATGTTGTAACACAGGGACTATAGTTTCTGGGGTTCACATATTCTGTTAAAACAGCAGGTAGCTTTATATTTTGTATGCATTTCCAAAAAGGAAGGCTGTCTGCTAGCGGTGTGCAGCGTGTACTTAATCTGTCATGTATAGTAAGATCTCTGCATACCTTTTGAGAGATTGTGAAAGTGATTTCACTAGGCCAAACATTGTATTATTGTGCCTTAAAGTGACATTAAAAATCCTTTGTGACTGACGACATACAGTGTACGTCGCCAGCATCGGGGCTGTTTAAACAGACTCCCGGCGGCTTTTGCCACCGGGACTTAGTTTAAATTTGTAAAGCCGGCTGTCGGCCTTACAATAGAAGCGATTCTGCCGACTCAGCTGTCGCTAGATCGCTTCTAGAGTCCCGTGAAGGGGCCGACACCCCTTCCCCCGCCCAAAACCCCCGCCTTGCTTCCTCGGCTCCGTTGCCCCTTCTACGGGCCCGGGACCGGCTTCTGTGGTCTCCGCGGGGACTCCGTTCGTTGATCCCCTCCCCGTTCTATGGGACCGGGAGCAATGCAGATTGCATCACTTCCGGTCCCATAGCTGTCAGTGCTGGGCTCCGGAAGCCCAGCTATAAGCTATTGAAGTGCGATCTGCACTTCAATAGCTTATTTCTAGTGTTAAGGTGACACTTGGGGTCTTTTGGACCCCCAGCATCACCTTAAAGAGTACCTGTCACCACCATCTGCTATCACATCGGGGGGCTTGTAAGCCCCCCCCCCCTATGTGATAGCAATCAAAGTAAAGTTTTAAAAAAAAAACAGTTTTTAAAATGAAATAAAATAAATCTAAAAATAATGTAAATTTTTTTTAAAGTCCCCTGAGCGTCGCCACTCGTCGGGTGCACCTACGTATGAAAACGACGAACGCGCTACACATGTTGGGTATCGCCACGCACGCCGGAGTGAGAGCAATAATTGTAGGGCCAGTATTTTTGGGTGTCTCTAAATTGATGACCTATGGGGGCTTTTAAAGCATCGTCTATGGACTTTTTGGGGTACTGAAGTTTGTCGCCATTTTACGAACGCACACAATTTTTAACCTGGGCATGTTGGGTATCTATTTACTCGGTGTAACCTCATCTTTTATATGTTATTTTAAAAATGGGTATTTTATTGTGTTTTCGGGCATTTAAGTACATTTTACACTACGTTTTGGGGTTTGATAAGGAGTTGCGCTAATAAAATTTGCAACTGCCAACATTTTATTCTATAGGGTCTTGGCTTTCAGAAAATATATAATGTTTGGGTGTTTTAACTAACTTTCAGGCCTAAAATGTGGACTATAACACGGGTGCAAAAAATGAAAAAAAAGGCCTCAGTCATGAAGGGGTTAAGGGCTTACCTTTAAATTATGCCTCTTGATTCAATCACCTTCTTCTTTCTAGTAGTTTTCAAGAGTCCCTCCAGCACTGGTGCCTGTCTCTTATCCAGCACTGACACCTGTCTCATCCTGTAATAAAGGATTTTAGGATTAAACAGATAACCTATATACACAGAAACCTGTCGGATCTCTTTGATTAGGATGTTCATGGAGCATCTACTTTCTACCCCTTTTTTTCCCCATCCCATGTCTAAAAATGTAAAATATATTTTTCCCACTTAATCATTCATTATAAATTAAGCCTAAATAATCTCTTAGAAATTGGGTTTGCATGAAGATTTTATGAACAGTGTGTTCCCAGAAAGGTATAAAAAACATATATTTTTGACAATTCCAAATGTTCCCAAATCCCACCAATAAAAGTAAGAGTTAGCTGGATAATTCGGATTGCTGTATTTTAAGCTTTATCCCCTCGGTCATCTCTATAGAAACCAATAGGTTAAAGCATGTTCATGGTGAGTAAAGAGAGTGGGTGCTAAAAGGTTATTTTCTCAAGATTTTCATTTGTATGTGAACAGGATTACAAATTGTGCAGTCTCTACATAAATGATTTGACATAATTATACAGCTAAATTCTGTTTTTAGAACTACTGGTTTTTCTCTTTTGGCTTACATTATTCTACAGCTCACTCTTCTTCAAATAAATTATTACCTTCAGATTTGACTGTGCATTCAGACTTGAAAGCTGATGATAAAAGAAAAAAACTGTCTTAAAGTAAAATTACAATGTGGC